CTGACCACTGCTTCCTTCAAACAAGATGAGACACGACCTTCCCCAAGGGATGCAGTGATGATGTCCCTCAGGAACCTCCTCAAGACATCTCCCTCCTGGATGGCCAGTCATGAAGGGCAAGGGTCAAGAGGGCAGGTTGTCTTCCTCACTCTACCAAGGAGCTTGTCCATGTCATCGGTACTCATCGATTGGAACTGATCCAGTATAATTTCATAAGCGGAGTTGCTGGATACCTCATCTATGATTCTACAGTAACACCGGCATCCAAGTTGGCTCTTATCTGAGAGATTTTATCTGCAAAGAAGTTGTTAAATGCATCACAGCAGGCCGTTGTCGGGTTAAGTAATGGGTTCTGTGCAGGTGGAACTTGCGTCAATTCCCTTACTACCCTAAACAGCTCTGCTGCACAGGACTCTGCAGATGCAATATGTGCAGAGGAGAAAGATTTCTGCGCTGCATGTAACAAAGAATCTTGACAAGAAAACCCTGTGATAGGTTTGGTTTGCCTTAGGGTCGCCATAAGTTGGAAATGACTTGAAGGCACACAACACACACTGACAGTCCTAATATGAGAAGGTATCCATAATGGTGGTATCAGACCCCAAAGGGTCCACTTGCAGTACCTCAGCTGGATGGACACTGCTTCCAGCATTGATATAAATATTTGGGAAGCTGGGTTGTAGAGACATATTTGAAGAAAAATTGTTTTGACTATCTCCTGACTTCCATTTTGTCAGGCAAAATAGTAGAGAGGCCTTTACTAAGGTAAAAGTCGGATAGGGCAGTATTCTATCTGTGGCCTGCGACGCAAAGTGGAAGCAACATGCAATGTGTTCAAAGAGATGGTGATGGCACCCGGGGCTGACCCAAGACATTTTGCTGCCTGCAGAAGACAAAATGACACCTCCATTCTGCTTTTCCATGTAAAGAGGTTAACTGGATGGACAGTCCCATACCTGTAACATTTCATAGATAAAAACTGGGAGTGCATCTATATAGTAGAAATAATGCAATTTGACACCACTTTAAGTGGTGTGGCTCCAAGCTGTGGAATCCTGGGATTTGTAGTTTTACAAGGCCTTTAGCCTTATCTGCCAAAGAGTGCTAGTGCCTCACAAACGGCAAATCCTAGCATTCTGTAGGATGGAGCCATGACAAAGTGGTGTCAAATGGCATTATTTCTACAGTGTAGATGCACCCTGGCCAAGTAACATCTCAGAGTGTGGTCAAGGTGGCAGATGTTATTAATAAGGAGGAAGACACAAACTAGGAAAGGCTGCAGTTTGCTTCTTCCTGAGCCTACTGGGAAGTGTAGGATTCTGCCCCCTCCTCTCCTTTCCCTTCAGCTGGGTTAACTGAGTGCAAACTCTGGGGGGTTGCAGACTGCCAGAAATAGTGCAAATTGAGTCCATTTTAAGGGTTAGGGTTAGGGTTAGGGAATCATGGGAACTGTATATTATTGTGGCACCAGAGCTCTCTGACAGAGAAGGTTCAATGTCTCAGGAAAAAAAACAACAACAATTCCCATGACTCCCTAGCACTAATCCTAACCCTTAAAGTGGACTCAATTTGCACTATTTCTGGCAGTCTGCACCCCCCATCTGTTTGCATGTTGAACTCACTTTGCAGCAATTGAAGTAAGCTTGAGGACAAATGGGGAAAGCAGGAAGAGGAGGAGAGAGAAATTGGGACATTTTAAAAACAGCTGAAAAGTGGGATGACACTGAGACTGTCTCTGCCACATTGGGGCAGTTGGAGAGCATTTAGTCTAATCTTATTTCAGCATTGGAGATGTGACATTATCCTTCACTAAGGGCACCTGAGTGCAGCAAGCCAGCTTAGAGGGTGCAGGGCAGGCCTCATGGCGCACACAGCTCTGACCTCCAACTTGCTCACAGCTCCATCTGTCTCCTTTTCTGCTGACCACTCAGATAGATGCTTCAG